GTTCCAAAGTCACCCTCTGTTGTTTTAACGGCACCGACAGAGGACGAAAAGTCTTGGCTCCAAAAGTTTGGGGCCGGAGGGTAGCTCCAGTCCACCAACCCAGCACTGAATTTCAGCTCTAAGCTACGGTGAACTATGCAATCAGGGCCTTCGGAACGCTATTCCTATTACCACACTTCCTCACAGGCACCACATCCATCTTCCGTCTCAATGGCATAGATAGTTTTGCACGGGGGGCTCTGTTTCGCCGCCGCGAACGCGTGCTCCTCGAAACAGCAAAAATGGCCGTTTTCGCGAAATCGTTGAAAAACGATGGGTTTCTGGCAAGAGAACCCTTGCTACAAAGTACTGCCAAATCATCAATACTTAACATATTAACTTCAAATTTTGACCGTATACTCCCAAAAGGTAGATACAGCTTTGGAAAAAAAATCATTGAAAAAACTGTAATACATGATGCAGAAATGGTGCGCCAAATTCTTAGAGGACATTTAATATGGGACGGAGGAAGTAGTACTTAAAACACTGAGCAATATTAAATTAATATATGTGTTGTGGTTACTTGGGGTTAGACAGTTATTGACATTTTCCGGAGAGGCAATTACGTAATTAGCAAAATAGACTTTTTGGAGTGTTATTTAGAGCTTTTTGGTTCCAATGCACTTTGAAACGCTCGATTTCTTTAAGAAACGGCAAAGATATGGCCTCCTAAAGTTATAGTACATAGGGCCAGGGGGTCGGGTGTTAGATGCTTAGAATTAGAGGACAATTGGTCGTTCGTGGGTAAACGGTGGATGGTGACAATGTGCCTGGATGTGCACCGTGTTGTCTTGTCTTGATGTCACCGTGATGGACCCGCGATCAGGCATCGCGCATGCAGTATGTGTGTGCGCATCAGTTGAATCTGTGTGACTCTCTTTGGCCTATTCTTTGGCCTCCCGCAAGCAAGCGAGCCACCGCCACACTGCGCCACCACATCTCACTAACAGCAGGCCCCGGGGATCGATCCCAGTCGAGCATTGGGCCCACCGCGTGACTCCACAATCGACTACCTCGATTAAGCCCGCCGTTTGAGGTGGAGAGGCCGGCCAACTTCCAATGGCCATGCTATAGGGTTGGGCGAACCAAACGCCTCCAAAACTTAGCAGCCGCTGACGGGACCGCAACGATATACCACGGTATTAAAAGTGGATGAAGTTGAGAAATTTAGATGGAAGGGTACTGCAAGGATACCTCATTGCCCAGAAAATGGCAGCGCTAACGTTCACCATAAGCAGGATACTAATGAAGTGATAAATGACTTGAACATGCTCAATTGATCTATCCAGTTTTCAGACATTTGATTCCAAGCATCTTGCCAGAAAATCCACCAGCATCACTATGAATCCACCGAGAATGCCTATACATCTGTCCATAAAATGAATCGCCTTAGCCATTGCAACCACACATGCTAGCACAATCTGTATGCCAACACTCAGTGATGCATGATCCAAATGGTCCATTATGGCAATGTCAAGAAATCCCAACATTCTCCCATAAATAATCCTTTCACACCCAATGTTTGACACCCTCTATGCTTTTGCACCTCAAGTAGGGTGTATGCAATACTCCACACAAGCAATTGCATCTCCACAATTTGTCAATGCAGTCTCAGAGCTCCGATAATGCGCTTCAATTTGATGGAGGGCCTCAGTGTCCGTGAATCCAAGGGTCTGTTATTTTCGGATTTTTTGGATTCACGGACACTGAGAGTGGGCTTGATACGGATTCAGGTGTCTTTGAGGGGTTTAAATCAGAAGCTACACATAGTCAAGCGGCCGAGTTGTACACGCATACTCAGGGGCCTTCGGAGATTTGCCATGCAACATCTCCAATGTCTTCTTAATATATGATCAATATTGTATATAACATTTTGTCTTTTTAATATGTCTCTTGCATAATCCCTATTCACATGCCTGGCGCTCCCGATTAGAACTGCGCCCCCATGTCTACCTCTTCCCTTTTAATCCTATTACAATTCCATGCCAAATCCTTGTACCACATGATACCTATTCCCATTTAGTCATCAAACTGATTAATAAAACGTCTGACACCCTGTCATCTCACCCCGTCTAGTCATCATGCTGTGGGCAGTACACTCGGCCCTTCCTCGTCACGCCGTAGCCTCCGCCAGACACCCTCATGTAGCACTACGGTATTGATCCAAGTCTTTTCATGCTCCAACAATCATGGTTGATAGAAAGCCCTCAGCTTTCATCATTGGGACTAAACGTGGGTGGCGAGACTAGAGGTGGCCATTCAAGGGTGCCATCCGGTCCGTTAAATCCGGTTCGTTAATTTTTATCAGCTGTCCGTTAAATTTCCGTAAAAAAAAGGGAGAAAAATTCAGAAAAAACGAAAAAAATCCAAAAAAAATCAAAAAAACACCCAAAAAATCACAACAACTGCGGCTAGTTGAAAATCTAGTATGCATAGGTTGAAATAAAATACAAACATACTCTCTAATAGCGAATTCCATAAACTATAAGTATGACTAAAACCCAAAAATCCCCCAAAAATCCAAAAATCCGCTAATTTTTGGTTAATTTTTATCTTTTTTCGTTATTTTCCGTTAATTAACGGAAAATTAACGGAAATTAACCTCTGTCCGCTATTAACGGATCCGGGTGGCCACCTCGCCGCGAGACATGCATTGATGGCTCCTGGTCAAAAATCTGGGGGAAGCACCGGTACCAGCTGATCCCCACCACAACCGCAATTTGTCACGTCATAATTTGGGTTCCGCTTATGGAAACTCCAACACCACGCGCACCTCTCCACCGTTGCCTTTATATCATTTTGTGTTAGTTTGCCAGCATTGATCCATATAGCCACCCTGTGACATGTAGCATCATAAGCAGAAGTGTGTTGTATATCCGCATTGGGCAGCATGTTTGTTCTGAAGTCTTGATACTCAAGGGGCATCTCCATGTCGAAGTCCATTATCATTGTACATACAAAGTTACACCTGTCAAGCCCTCCTCCTTCCAATCTCCACCCCCGTCAGTTATCAAATGGAATGGCAATCTCCATACAAATTTCTATCTCTTGGCGTTTGAAATCCAACTGGCATCCCATCTATTCCAGCACCCGGGGCCCTTCTAGATCTAATATATCCTTGAAACACACCTGGAAGGCAGACACACCCATGCTGCTATAGAGCTTCGTCTTTTGAATCTTCACACCAAGTTCCCACTATCGGTGGATTGCATTGGCCTTGTCAGACTTGTTCCAAATGGTAACCTTTCCCATACCCAGCACATGGGTCCTATCGACCTACATGGATGCATTTTGCAAATGTGCATCTCTGGCTAGCTCCTATAGTTCAGGTCGCTCCTTGTCCTCCCTCCATTCTCGCAGAATCCACGCAACATCCTCTGTATTGAACAGAACCTTCACAACCATAAGAAAGGCCCCTAAACCTATTGGCGAGTCCACCCACTTCAGCGCCTAGCGAGACAGACCCAAGTGGCCGGTTATGAGCCATTGGGCAATGAAAAGTTGCCATGCTCCCATTTGACGGAACCAGCCTCACGCTATGGTGTGCAAAGTTAGACAGTAAAAAAATCAGGGCTCTGCTGACAATGGGGATGCGCGCTATGCCAACTGCCGCACATATAATCTTCTTGGATTATGCACGGATGTCGGACATGTCTTGGGCTTAATGCAATGCCATCACAGTGCCAGCTAGGCATACAACTAGGAGTGTCTACATATAGATGGTCATTTGATGCGGGTAGGCAGCTTGGCAGAGCTGCCTTGGGGTTGACACATAGTTGTATATGCTCTCCTTTGTAATTCTTCTATGTGACGCCAGTGCATTGCACATTAACCATAGTTACTGATCCACAATAAGCCTCAATATAGCCGTAGTCTTGTCCCATTTCGAATCTAGGATGCATGAGTCGTTTATAGCATTATCTCCATATAATCATCCAGAATATACCAACCTTCTCGCTTGTGGTTGTGCATGCTTTTACTGATCGGCACTCAGGCCTCCAGGGCAATGCCTTGGACCTTCAAAGATGAAATTTGCCCATTTGAACACCAGCTAGATGCAATCTAGTGAAATCAGAATGGTCGTTGTAGTCCACAGCGGTTGACTGGTTTGTGAATTAAATGAAGTTGATGTAGCCATTTGCCATGCTTTTTGAAGGTTGGAAATGAGCAACTTTAGCAGTACCCAAATACTTGACGCACGGACGCTCTCGGTACGTGCACTGGCCTTAAACCACACACCAATCGCCAGTCATGCAACTGGTCGATGCTCGTTGCTCGACACACCTCTGGATTTGGAAATGCCTCCCGCCCAGCATCCCTCTCCTCGCTTGTGCCTGTGCCAGTGTCCCTCCGCACCCAGCCCCAGCAGGCGCAGCCTGTCGTCCGCACGCCTGGCTCAGACCTCGGCGAACGCCAGCGACAGGTCGCGCTTTCTGGCCGCCCGCTGTCTCGTGGGGCCAAGCAGGCCCCAGGCGATGGCCAACGGAGATCGCGATTTTGCCATCGCCCTTGCGCTCAGCGGTGGCGGTTGCCCGCAGGCGGGGGTCGTGGTGGCGCCGAACTTGTGGCTGCTGGTGAACCTTTGGGCGTGGAGGCTCGGCGACTGGTGAAGGTGTGGTTTCGCCAAAGCGGCCAAAGCGGCGTTGCGATCGCAAAGGCTGCGGGGTGGGCCGGGGACCCGCAAGAAGCGGGTGAGCTGGGCACACTCCTGAAGAAAGCGCGCCACAGTGCCATGTCCCTTTCAAATACAGCATTGATGGTGCCCTAGGCTCCTGGCGTCGCCCAATTCGGCGGCTGTCCCATTGTCTGCAAGAACGGGATGTCAGCCACCATGTGACAGAAACGAGCAAGACCGGGCGACGGCGGGTGGGACGCATTGATGCGGTTCCCGCCCTGTGAGGTCAACGTGCTCTTGTCCCGCAGGTGGGAGGGAGCCCGGGGATTGTGCTCGCAAATCGAACATGGCGTTTGCTCCAAAGGCCGGAGATTGGGTGGAGGTGACGATTGACGGCGAGGCCCACGGGGGCAGCTTCTTCAGCGCCAAGATCCTGCAGTGCAGGGGTTCCGACGTTGTCGTCGAGTTTATCGAGACGGGGCCAGGTGGGGTTGCTGGGAGGAAGGCGATTGTCCCGGCTCGTTCGCACAACGTTCGGCCCAAGCCCCCTGGCTACGCCAACGCAAACCCAGTGCAGGACCGGCAGCTTGGAGAAGCCGTGGACTGCTGGTGCCAGGGGGCGTGGCGGATGGGCCACGTGCACGAGGTGTACGATGACGGCGTAACAGTGTTCTGTCCGTCCAGGCCGGAGGCTCAGAGCTTGGTGACCGTCCCCGCTGCTGCCCACCCCTGTGCGATTCGGACTGGGCTGGATTGGGACGCCGAGGGAGGGGGTTGGCTGCCGCGGGACAGCCGATCATTTTTCGGTGCAAAAGTCCGTCGCGGCGAGAAGCTGAACCAGGGGCCAGGTTGCTTGATGGCGGGCTGGGGTGGAGCTGGAGCGGCAAGCGAACGCAGGGCGAGCTGGTCGGTCGAGGAATGTGGGGAAGAGGCGGCTGGCTTGGTGCGTGGCGTCGACCAGGGGATGGGAGGCTTGGATGGCGGCGTGGCGTCTTCAAGGTCCTCAAGGGCGTCCACGGGATTTTGGAGAAGGGAAGACCGCGACGACAGGGGAGGTGCCGGCCTAGAAGAGCCGGAGGCTTTGGAGGCAGGTAGAGATGTGTGGATATGCCAGCAGGGGCGCGCTGCAATGGGCGGGAACCAGGGCGGTAACTCGAAGGATGGGACCAGAATTTGGCAGTTTGCGGGCGGTGGGGGCGCCAGGCCTGCAGAGGGTTATCGATCCATTGACGCTTGCGAAAGAGGTGGAATGGTTCACGTTCGAGCCAAGAGGCAGAAAATGGAAGGTGTGGCTGATCCAGACACAAACCAGCCTTCGATGAAAGCTGAAGAGCTGGGTACCGAACCGCAGCCTCCCTGCCCAAGCAATCAGGATAGCTTTGTGACTGGCTCAAAGGTGGTTGGCGATGGGTGTCTGCCACAGACTGGGGTGTTGACTGGTAATGAAACCGGGGAGTCAGCAAAGGATAAGCGAAATTGGCGCAAAATGCTTCATGACAGAGGCCAAAAAGAACTGTTCAATGGAAAGGTAATTGGACCAAAACTTTGCATAGACAACCTGGGTTGGGTTTTTCAAGATGACAAAATAAAGAAAGACCTAGTGGCAATGTTAGATGGAGTTGAGGACATCGAATTCGCAACTGGAGAATTCGATGGGAAGCGTTACAGTGCAGGGTGGGCTTGTGCAACCTTCAAGTCAGTGGAGGCTGCAGTATGTGCCATGGAGAAACTAGACACAATGTACATGGAGGTCCCCTGTTGCCCCATCCCTAGGCCGCTGGTGCCCCATTTTCCAATGTGGGAAGCATACCCATGGGGGCGGCACACAGACATGCCAGGGTACCTTGATGTGCGGGGTGAAGTATCACCACACTTTGCCCAGAAGAACAGCATAGAGTACCGTGCTGCGATCAAATGGAGGCACAGCGATCAGCTCACAGGCAATGTGAAGGAGCAGCTGTGCCAAGAATGTGTGGATAAAGTATGCAAGGAGGTGGAGAAGCTTGGCGGGAACTCTCTGGACTCTTGCAAGAGCTGCTCATCTGATGTCAGCTCTGGTAGCCACAGCATCTCCGCACAGTCCACCCTGTGGGTCAAAAGGATTCCCCTGGGCATCAGCGATGAGAGGTTGCAGCAGGCCTTTGCGCAGTTCGACGCGAATGATGCCTGCAAGGTCACGCGGATCATAAATCCTGTATCGCAGAGAGAGTACGGGCACATGGTGGTGCAGTTTTCTGAACCGGGCAAGGCAGCCATGATGTGCTTGGACCTGAACAAGTTTCTTTTCCATTGTGGGGGCACGCCGCGTGCAGTCCATGCCGCTATGTTCAAACCTGGACCCCCGCAGGGATTTCAGGGTATCTTTGACCGTGCGATGCACAAGGCGCTGGGGTTTGATGCATCCCGCTGTGGAAGGGGCTGTGCAGCGAGGTCGAGGGTGGTGAACTTCACAGGATCGGCCAGCCCCTCGCGCAGGTGCGCAAAGGCAGTGCGAGACGTGCTTAACAAACAGCTGTGCCTGGTGGCGCATTTTTATGAGCAGTGCAAGGACGAGAGGAGGAGGCTGCATGTGCACCAGCAGAAGGAATTTAATGACGCACAAGAGATGAAGACAGAGTTGGAAGCTCTCTGTCAGAGCCCTGTTGTTAAGAACATGGCCGAGCGGAGATAGCGAGCCAAAGGCTATTCTAGGAGGTCTGCCATACAGTGATGGTTAATTTTGTATTCTTTGGGTGACTGATGGTACACTTTGATCGTGTGCCAACGTTAGTGGAACAGCGCCACACAATAAGTGCACGCAATCAGCCATTTAATCACATATATGCTTTCTGGATACCAATTGTGGTGATGTGCACCCGGAGCATTGGTTGTCCCATATTGCTGGATTCGCAGCATTGTCAATATGTCCAAGCGTGCTTTCAGTTTCTTCACCGTACAATCTGGATTCCAGCTCTAGCCGGTGAGCACTGGCTTGCAGAACACTTTCAGCTCAAATGTCGTAATTTGTTGGCAAATAGACAAGACAGATATGTGCAATGGGACGCCAAGGTTGGCTTGGCAAAAATTCCTGGCCATTGACGCTTCACGAAGCATCAACCAGCTGCTCAGGTAGCGGTGGATTTGGGAACGGCAAGAAAGTTATAGTGCACAGATACAAAATGTGAACATCGTGGCTGGCCTAAATCATGACATAGCGTAAATGCTATGCAGTATCTGGCCTAGTTTTTACTTCCTCTGTCCCAAATTAAATGCCATCTGTGAGTTCGGCGCATCAGTCCTATATCATAAATTCTTCCTTTTTCAATGAAATTTTGTCCAATGTTGTGCCTGCATTTTTGAAGTACACGGTCAAAATTTCCAGTCAACCCATTATGTATTGAGGAATTGGCAGTACCTGTAGTAAGGGTCCTCCGGCCAGAAAACACCCGTTTTCCATAGCTTTACGAAAATGGCCGTTTTCGCTCTGTTGAGGAGCACCCTTTCGCGTTGCCGAAACAGAGCGGCCCAAGCAAAACTGTCCACGCTGTTTGGACATAAGCTCGAAGAGGTCCCTGGGAAGAACCAAAGTTGTAGAAAGCGTGTCTTGGTGGGCTTGATCGTGGCAGTCGTCGTGGCTTCGCTGCCCTAATTCGAGATCGATTGGCCTCTTCGGGGATGCATTTCTAGCCCAGATTTTTGGGCCACGAACTTAAAACCTCCGTCGGTGCTGTGAGGGATACCTACAAGACCACCCAAGCCCCTCAAAGAATCTCTCTCGCAAATGGAGACTAGTGAGATTGCGAAGGTTGGCAGACTGCATGTACGAGCAGGACGCTAGTGGCAATTTCAGGAGTGTGGGCTCAGCCACACACGAAAGCCCTGATTCAAGGCTCAATCGAGGCTCAATGTTAGAGTAAAATTATAGCATTGACGCCAAAATAGAATGCAGAATTTTTGGCCAAATAATAGGCGATTTCGACGGGGCCCCAGAGGTAACGGGTATGAGTGCTTTTTCACAAAGATTGGTAGTTGGGACCCAACCTTTTCGATTCTGACTTGCTTTTTACTTTTGAGGCTTTCCTTGCAACGAATTTTTTCTTTCAAACAGAGAACATTTAGTTTGGGATTGAGGAAGCACGTGGATTTCCTCCGAGTATGGAAGGCGGCGGCACAGTAGCTATTGGGGCAAAAGGCGCTGATTAGGTCTCCAGCTCACTGATATGGGCGAACTTAGCAATTTTAATATCAGCTGTACTAAAAGCAAACAAATACTGTCCAGCGACAACGAACATGCCCAAGCCATTGAAGCCCCCTTTCAGTTTTATTATCCAATAGATAGATTGCTGCCTGGAAGATCGTCAATGTGGCCAATCACCATTCTTGCAAGGCAAGCGGGTGAGACAATTGCGGTCATCTTCACTCAAACGGTGGTCGCTTCGTTTGTGGCCGGTGCACATACAATCCTGTGCATCACCCTATTGTGCGGCCTGATGGCCATCGCGATAGGACAGATGTATGTTGGACACGACTGCGAGTGTTTGGATACACACTTTGCGAGCACAAACATATGCATTTTTCATCAGAGTTCTGCATGCTAAAGACACGAAAGCAACCCAAACCCGTAAACTTTGTGCACTTTTGAACACGTGTTATTTGGGCCTTTTGTTCCTAGTGACAAGGGCCCCTCTGTAACGAACTTATTCCATGGGATTTTGCAGTATAGGCGATAAACGGCCACGGAGAAGCCATTATGGGCTGGGCCCAATGTACTTGTAGCCACATGATTGTCGTGGCAAGTTTCAACTATTTGAGCGGCCAGCAATTGCGTAGCCAATCACAAGCACTGACTCGCAATAGCTAATTGACGGCGGTCCCGTTTCCAGAAAGTGGCGTAAACCCAACTTCTCCTCGACACCAAAAAATTCACGTTCGAGGCTGATTGGTCATGATTGGCGTTTGAACATGGAAGTCCGGCCTCGCACACGAGAGCTTCCACCTTCGAAATGCCTCGAAGCCATGTCTTAATGCCTTTGAAACCACCGTCGCTTATGGCGGTGAGGAAGAGGCAAGGGTAAGAAAGACGCATCCCTTGTTGGCTCTATCGAAAAGCCCGGAAATTACAGTTTGCAGCGAACCAGCCAAAAACATGCACGAGAATGAGCATGAATAAACGAGTGCATCCCCCAGATACTTCCCGCCACAAGCAATCCCTTGACGGAATAGAACCAAAGCACCCCAACGCGATTCCGTCCATCATTCGAATGCAGTCAGCAATCTTCTCTGGTTATTGCACTTTGTGAACGACACACTAAAATATGAAGATGACACGGCGCCTTCAATGCCTTCCCCTGCAGCCCCTTGCTCCGTGCGCCTTTCTGAAATGTGCATTTTAAGTGAAGCGCAAGCCCAAACACTGCCTAGAGGAGATTATCGCCTCAAGACTAGTTTCCGCGCTGCCCCAGGCGGAACGTTCGGTGGACCAATCCCCACACGCGCCCAAAACATTGCTGCCAACCACTGCACCAATGTTTCAGACCTTCATTAACGCAAAAAGCAGCAAGTTTGGCCAGCGCTGCATTCCCATTCAAGCGCCGCCGCATCAGGCATCCATTATTGGGCGGCCTCCTCCATTAGGATCCGGGTGTTCAACTCGTCGGCGCCTTGGGGAAGGCCCGTTTGAAACCAGGGATTTTCCAAAATGCCATCGATGGTGATGCGGTTGTCAGGGTTGACCACAAGGGAGGCGCGAATGATTTCGGCGGCGCCGTTCGACACAGTCGGCGGGATGACGTACTCTGGTCCGTGGATGCGGGTGCAGATGTCCTGCATGTCCACGGTGCTGAGGTCCGGGTGATTGTTGAAGCGTGTGCCGGTAAAAGGGAAGCGGCCCACCAGCATGACGTACAGGACGACGCCGCAGGACCACACGTCGCTCAGCATATCGTTAGCACCTATTCCCAGGAGCTTCTCCGGTGCCGTGTAGTCTGGGATCCTGCCCGAGTTGCTGTAGCCGTATCTGCAAAAAGCCACATGGAATTTGGCATGGCTGAAATCATACGGAATGAGAGGCTTGCACTGAATGTGAGCAGACGAATGCTGGGACAAACGAACCTGCATGCAGGGGAACTTGCTCATACGCACATACTACCACACGTGCAATTGAAGGGTGTCTAAAGCGCCACAGGTTTCCACTGAGGTCCGATTCAGGCACATGTCCCAGCGCTACCTCCCAGCATCCTGCTGTTGTCCTCACTAACAAGCGCAACCTGCCGTTCTCAGTGTTACGTTGTCCTAACAGTGCCCATCAATACAACAATGGAATAGTTGCCCAGCAGCCCATCAGCGCAATGTTCCAGGCCCATCTTTGTCGCATTTTCAACCAGGATGGTCTGTCAGTGCACTGTGCAGCGATCAAGACAGAATGTTGCAGTGGGGCAGTTTGCAGCCAATGAAAACAGTCCCTCAGTCTCAAGTAATCCCGTCGCTGAGGGATTTGGCGCAAGGAGGCCGCCTTCTGAGTTGCAGCGGGCTTGTCGCAACGAGCCCAGGTCACGCGCCGCTGTTTTACAGGGACGTACAAATCCGGGACAGTTTTCTCTGTGCGGGTAGTCGCGATCCTGATGCAGTGTTACGCGGCCGCAAAATGTTGACGTGTGTCACACTTGTCTGGATGAAGGTATGAGGAATTCGGACGGAGAGTGTCAGCCACATCTGGCTGATGGCCCCCAATATGCGGCATCAGTGTTTGCAAAGTGTGTCAAGCCCTATTGCCCAAGTCGACAGCTGACAGCGTGTGCGCACAGCGAGTGCCGCGGCGAGTGCCGTAAGCGACCGGCACACCAACAGACGGGCCGCCAGGCCCTCGCGGCGCTTCGCGGGAGCCTTGCGCGTCGCCGCGGGTCAGCCCCGATCGCTTGCTCCGCCTCGGGATGTGTGCATGGACCGGAAGCGCGACGGCAGCCGCCGGATCGCACGGGGACCCCGCCGTCCCAAAGCGCGCAGCACGCACCGGCAGAAAGCGACACCTTCACTGCGGCGCCCCTGCAGCCCCAAACAGAAAAACGCCCGCGAGCTTTCTTACACCTCGGCGTCCAAAGCTTCGCATGCACTTACACCGGGCCATCGCTGGACGTGCCCCGCGCTGCAACAGCTTTTCAAAAATTACGACTTCCGGCGTCTGCGTGCCGCGCAAGCTCGAGGCGCTTCGAGTATCGACCTGGCGCAACACGATCACCCGCGAGAAATTAGCAGCGAGGAAAGCAGGGCGAGGGTGAAGCCGTGAGGGCCTTGTGCGCGTGACATGGCGTCCTGGCTTCCCAAATTCGCGGCCCGCCCGCAACTCACCCATCCCCTCCAACCCACCTGCGCCGTTGGTCGGCGTCCTCGTTCACCGCCATGCCCAGCTGATTGCAAACGCGGAGAACGGGGTACTGCGCACCGGGATCGGAGGGCGCCCGTAGCAGCAGGTTCTCCAGCTTTAGGTCGCCGACCGCCACTCCCCGCCTGTGGCAGTAGTCCATGGCCAGCACAAGCTGCTGGAAGTAAAATCTTGCGGTGACCTCGTCCAGGCTGCCGTCCCCGCGCGACGTCATAAACTCCCGCATGTTGCCCCTGTCTGCGAGCTCCATGGCCAAGCCCAGCGCGCCCCGCCACGCGAACACCTCCCTCAGGCGCGTCACGTGCGGGTGGTGC